TGCCCAGCCCGCCCTCATGCAGGGCCGCCTCAGCCCGCTGGAGATCAGCGCGGCGCGTGCCTGGCTTGTACACCCCCCCCCACCTCGCTGGAGCCCGTCGGAACAGCAGCCCGGACTCGACTCGACTCGACTCGACTCGACTCAAGTGCTGAGGCAAATATTCCCAAGCAAGCCAAGCCAGGAGGGGTTTTCAGGGAGAAACAAAGCAAAAGGGGTGTGGCGGGGGGGAGCCTGAACTTAGTTGCTGCAGTAAAAGAGATCACATCTACCCACAGGATCTTGTCTGCCTACATACTTAGACCAACAGGGCTACATCCAACAACCCAGAAACCTTGACAAGCATCAGGACGAAATACAGGTCGCTCGGCCTTTCTGTGAGGTGATAGTCTAGGGAGAACCACGAAGGGATGACAAAAGGTGATCTGCATCGCTGCAAAAGAAAATTTTAGGTCCTGATTCAATGCTGATCTGTTTGCTGTGCTGAATCCAGTTGCAGGGTCTTAGCTGGATGCAGTTTTTTGGTTTGTTCAACTGGCCCAGGCTGAAAGCTGCCTATGCAGAGGTCTGCACTGCTATCCATGTGTTTGGTTGTCAACTCAGTAAGGTCACTTAGTCCGGCGGTTCTCAACCTTTTTTGTACCAGGACCCATTTGTAAATGTCAATGGCCAGGTGTCTCTCACTCCTGACCCACTGGCCCCTGCCCCCAGTGTGTGGGATGTGGGGCCCCCAGGCAGCTCCTCACAAACTGGAGCTCTACTAGCCTGCAAGGCAAAGGCCAGAGTTTCCCTTGTTTTTCTCCTTTAAAGGAGAATCCATTTTTAACATTTGTTGATCATTTTTTAAAGTTTGTTTGCAACCCCTTCATATATTCTTGTGACCCACAGGTTGAAACACTGACCTAGTCTAAACCCCCGTCCTCTAGCCAAAAGGCCCCATAGTTAGTCCAGGAAAAGCTATTATTCAGACAAACCGCAATTGTTTAAAGCGTCTTGCTTTAAACCATTGCAGACAAGTGTTTGTCTAGGCTGCTCTTAACATGTATCCAAAGATAGATAATCTGTTCCAGCATTTAGCCAGTAGAAAGTTTTTCCTGGTATCCAGCCTGTTTCCCTTGTTGCAATCTAAGAGTTATTTCTTGTTTGGTCCCTTGTGGAAGAGGTCAGAAGTTGAAAAGTACCAAAATGTATTTTGTTTTTGGTACATGAATAAAAGCACTTATTTTGTGTCTACACCCATGTATGTGGTATGAACCTTCCTTAAAAGGGAAAAGTATTACGTATGTATTTATGGCATGTGGTTTATGTGAGAAAATTTTGCGTCAGGGTGGTTAAAAAATCACTTAGCTTTCTCTAGCCATATCTAGCACATTACAGACACGTGGGTTTTTTTTGTCTAACCACACACCTTCACTGCTCATGTTGATTATACACAATAGTTAGTTTATACAGCTTGTAGTTAATGATACAAGTCAGCAGTCTTCCAGATAACTGCTATATTCATATTGTGTAATAATTACTGATACAATCACTGGCAGGGTTGTATTTTTCTCTACCACCCTAACTCCCTGAATGTTTACTTCAGCCAATTCTTCATCAGTTTCAGTAAAATGCAGTGATAATTCAGATGAGTCAAATTTGTAGGGTGTCTCTCTTCAGTAGAGGAGCAATACCGCTCAGAGTAACACAGGCTAATGGACCTCCTCCCCTTAAAAGAGAAAAACAAATCAAGGTTTTGCTGGGAAACAAGTCTATTCATACAGACATTTAAACACCTGTTATTAGGAGCTTTTACCACACCGTCAACTCTGCTATGAAAGATG